TGTGTGTGTGTGTGTGTGTGTGTGTGTGTGTGTGTGTGTGTGTGTGTAGAATGCACTTTTGCCACTACACTTTCCTGATGATGAAAAAGGGATTGCAGGAAGATTGCAGTCCTATGGGCCTGGCTGTGCTGGTCTGGAGCCTTGCCATCTCAGGGTTCCTGGGTGCTGGGTATGTTGCAAGGTATCTGGTTTGACTTGCAACAGGCCCAGCCTGTTTTAGGTCTAGGAGGTTGCTACATTATTAGGAGGAACACTGATTCTGAAGTATGTATACACTATATATGTGAGTACCTTTGCCCCCCAGGCATCCAACATTAATCCTAGAATATTACACTCTTGTAAAACTGGAGAAATCTCTGTACCATAATAGGAAGGAATGGCTTCTCTAACATTCTGTTGTTCTTCCTTTCTCTCATTTCATTGTCTGTGGCAAAGTGCACCATCGTGCCATAGCCAAATGTGTGTTACTGAGCTTGGAGTTATATACACAGTTCTCTGGTGTTCTTTTCTTCCCAAATGGTACTAGGTATAAGCAATAATACGTTCAGAGACTAGGGCAATGGCTCAGTTGATAAGAGCTCTTGTGTAAGCATGAGGACCTAAGTTTGAATTCCCAGCACTCACACCAAGCTGAGCATGGTCAGTGTATACCTGTAGCCCCAGCACTATGGGGAAGCAGAGACAGACATCACTGCAGCTTGCTAGCTAAGCCTATCTTCAGGTGCAGTGAGGAATCATGTTTGAAACTGGAAGAAGGTGGAGGATGAGCAGGACACCTGATGTCCTCCTCTGGCTGTAGTGTGATCACACAACATATATACATATCACACACATGCATGTAAACAACATACAAAAACATACAAGAAGAAATGGCGTGTTCAAAGGTGAATTTCCTTTATTTCATTTTAGCTTTTAAAAGTTTATTAGTGTTGCTATTTGTTGACTGATGATTGACTAGTTGAAAGCTTGACTGAAAGGTCTTACTCTGTAGCCGTGGCTGGCCTTGAACTCAGAGAGATTCACCTGCCTCTGCCTTCTGAGTGCTGGGATTAAAGCTTATGTTACTATGCCCTTAGAACCTCCTTCTATGTTTATATTCAGTACCTTTTTTTACTTAAAGAATGTTGAGTTCAACATCTATGAGGTTTCTATGATTTTTATCAGAACTTGGGAACAAGAAACAAAAGCGAGTAAATTGACTAGGGCTGCCCTGTTATAGGGGAGGAGACATGCAGCTCTTAACATCGCAGGAGGATTTTGTAATTTAGAGAAAATGAGACAGTGAAGGTACAGTATGGCCACATTCACTTCCAGAGGCATTTCCTATATAGTTTCAATGAAGTATCCAAGAGATGGAGACAAGTGCCTGGTAGACAGTCTGATGTACAGGCTCATTTCTCAGGAGTTTGAGCTGAGAGTACAAATTTGGGGATCATCTGATTGATTGCATTTACGGGAAGTGAGATCTCCCTGGGAGTGCATGAATGTGCTGTGCATCCAGGCCGGAACTGGAGGAAAATGATGTGCAGGAGATGGCTACAGGAGGTGACCTGGAAGGGTGTGGAGAGAGTAGTCAAAAAGGAAGGGTACCTGCAGAATGGCTGTACAGAAACCAAAGTCATAGTGTTTGTCACATTCTTCAGATGTGTATAATCTCAACACAGGGGAAGGAGTCTGTTAAGTTAACAGATGAGTCAGGGTCTCTAAGGAAGCATGGTCAGCATGAGTGGAGAACAAGTCAGCTTGCAGGGACTTAGGTAGTGGCTGTGGTAGGGAAAGGAGGAGAGGGTGTCAGAACTAGTAATATCTTCTTAACAATGTTGGTGCTCAGGAGAGAGGAGAACCTGAAGCGTCTGGACACGGACTTCTGTATGGTAGAGGCTTACCAGAGGGGTAAATGAGTGGATGGGATCCCCAAGGAGGTACCAAGGATGATGAGCTGGTGCCCAATGGAGGAATTTGTGTTGAGAGATATAGTCTTTCTTTGCTCCTTATGTGCAGAACCAGAGAAAGAGGTAGGCCAGGGGCTGATGCCACCATGGATATAGAGAGGCTAAGTCCAGACAAAGAGGGACTGCCTTTTAAATAGAAGGCAGATCCTCTATTGAATGTGATTGGATATTAATGATTGGTCTCAGGACTGGGAAAAGGATTCAAAAGAGTTCCTGGTGAAGCCCTGCCTAT